AACAATGTTTCTAAACTCTAAACGCTCTAAAAGAGCACAGCATGTCATGATTTCAGCTCCCTGCCATCTCTGCTCTTTGCCACCTGCAAGCGCTCTTGGCCCCGCCCACTTCTCTGCTCTGCACGGTGAACAGCTGATCAGCTGCAGCAGGAAGTTTATCCTCTAGTGTGGGCTGCACAAAGGTGCAGCAGGTGCTAAATAATTTAAAATAATTCATTTTAAATAAAAATTCCATGCTGATCGTGCGGCTCATCCATCAACCATTCAATTGTGTGTCATGTCCACACTTATTTTGAAAAACCGCAATACAGCAAGTCCACGATAAACAAACCGCGAAGTAGCGAGGGACTACTGTATCCTCCTGTAGTTTGTGCACTAATCTGATTCACACTGAATCCAGTATATGAGCTGCGGACAGTCAGTTGTCAATGTCACTCGATTCAAAATAAAATTATTTTCTTGTAATTCCAACATTATCTTAAATTATCCTCTATCAGCTCATTTTAAAAGGTATTCCAAAAATTAAAAAAACATGAACACAAGACTCACAGACAATCTAGCTAAAACAATAAAAACAAAAGAGTCTTTGAAATGTGACACAAACTTGCTGCCACAGACACACAGTCCTTTCTTGATGTGGGCCAAACAACCGCTCTGTGTATCAGACTAAAGTGAGCGGGCCGGGCCAGCAGCATAGCTCCCCCATTGGCTCAGCACGCATTCCTCGGCCAATTAGGATTCCAGTCATACCTGAGGGGGCGGGACACGTTCAGGGGCAATAACCTCAATAACCAAGTTGAATTAATTGTTCTCTGCTTTAGTTCATTGTAACGCATCTGAAGTAAAAAATACAATAATTTCAGAGAGCTGAAACTAATCAATTTAAAATCTCTTCCTCTGATGTTTTATTTAATCCACTCAACTGTGTATTGTTGAGGGGTTACAGTGTTTAACACAGACAATTAACGTCTTATAACGTGTTAATGGCACGTTAAGTACATCAGGCCTGATTTAATAGAACGAAGGAGGAAGACAGAGGAAACGCTGAGAAGAAAAATAGGAAAAAAGCTTAAAAAATACTACAAGTTTTGGACTTTTCCCAACAAACTAAAAGCAAAATGTTTCTAAACCGTGTCCACTGCAGGCCTTTCAACACAACCACAGTCTGAATTTTAATGTCTCAACAAAACGGACCCAATCAAAGCCTCCAGTCCTCAAGGTGGAAGCAAAAACAACAAAGTGATATTGGATAAATCTGCTGTTTAAAGACACTATGAACTCGTCATCAGACAACGAGCCTCACTTAAAAAAAGAAGCTAAATTTGATCCAATTTATTTATTCTTTTAATAAAATTGTGGGTTTAGTTTCAAATGATTACAGTTTATTAAACTTATTGTGCTTAATAAAAGATAACCAGACTGTTTTAAGATAATTGTCATTTCTCCCAAATTGTTATAACTCCTTACAATTAAATGATTGAATAAAAAAAAAAGAAAAAACAATACTAATTGCTACAACCCAGGACTGAATGCTACATTTACTTTAAATGTGTTACAGTCACAAATTATTCAAGCAGCATCACAGATTTTCTCCTTACATCCAAATAGATATGTATTTAACTATAGCTCCTATCCACACGAGCTTCTTTCTTGTTTTCCACTGGCGCTCTGGCCTGCTGTTTGATGGACTGCATCTTAATTTTTGTTCTGGAACTGGACCGAGGAAATGTCACTCCTGTCGTTGGATTATGAGAGAAGACAGCTGTAACATTTGTTTTTGTTTTTCTCAGTGATGGAGCAAGAGTCAGAGGACCCCAGTCTGCCTTAGGTCATACTGTTGAACTCACCATCAATTACAATATATTTTGTTACATCAGTCCAAAATATGGGGGGTTGCCACAAAGTTGAGTCTGCAGGCTTCCACAGATAAATAACATTTTACTAATTGGCCTGTTATAATTTTTGTTTTATGCAGTACCCTGAGACTAATTGTTGTGAACTTGCGCTAAATAAATAAACCAACTCAAATTAAAATACAAGGTTAATATAATAGGAATGCACGAAAAAACTATAGACATTCAGCCTATGATAGAGATCAGTATTCTACCGGCTAACCGCAGTAATGCTGTCTGATGTAAAATCAGAGTTGCCAGATTTAATCGTTACTTTTCTGGAGTTGAAAACTGTGCCTAAGTGATGTTAAAGTCCTTTCTTCGGAGAACTAAGTAGCAAAGCTACAAGCTAACTACGGCCGGATTGCCATACTCATATTCGGACGCATGTGCAAAACGCTGTGTTCCGTCTAAAGTTTTTTGTTTTGTTTTTTTTTGTCGAAAGTTCGTTCGTCAGCTTTAGAGAGTGCATTTGAGCTAAAAAAAATAAAAATAAATAAAGGGTTAAACCTGCTCTGATCTGTGAAAAGAAAGCTGTGATGTGTGATTTTACTGCAAGACCCTCTGGTCAAAGCCACAGAGGAAACTGGTCGCCATTTTGTGTCTGCTCTCCTTAAAGCAGAAGGAGACGCACACTAGAGGGTTGGAGGGTTAAATGTTTTCAGTGTAAAATGCTGCTCATCCTTTTGTTTAAAACATATAGCTAAAACTACATTTGATATATTTTGCACCGTTTTGCACTACAAGAAAGAAGCCAAATTCTTGATTTGTTATTTAAACTCTCTGGACCTAGTAGTGGAATTTTCTTAACTGAGATTATTTTGTGGTATAGCAGTTTTCAAAATAAATGATGGCAAAAGGACAACGTATGCTTTTTTTTCGTTCTTATTGAAGTTTTATACCAAAAACATGTTGTGATATATATCGTTACCACCACCCTTCACAATACATATCGTGATATGAATTTTATACCATATCGCACATCCCTATAATATAAGTACATACATATAAGGGAGTGGTAGCGCAGAGGTATAGAAGGTGGGCCTGTGATCGGAAGGTCACCGATTCGACTGCCCGGACTGACATCAAAATGTGGGTGGAAAAGGTGAAACACACACACCTGCCTCCACTCTCATTTACGCCACTCTGGGTCCTTGAGCAAGGCCCTTAACCCCCACCATCTGCTCCCAAAACAGGTCTCTCTTGAAAAATGAGTCCTTGTGACTCAATGACCTATATAAATAAAGGTTAAATTAAAAATTGAATATACATGTTTGGCCCAATTTAAAGTTGCCAAAAAAAAAAATACAAATAGGGGAAAAAGATCACAACCTTCGAGGAAAAGACCACTCTGGGTCATCAGCATCATAAATCACCTCCACATAGCTCTGATGACCCTTAAACATCTTTGTTATCAGTTATGATCAAAACATGTTGTCACACAGCAACTACAAAATAAACCAATAACACTAATACTCACTGTTTTTAGTTTTCATTCACAATAGCTGCTGAGCTGAACTTGATTTGCCTTGTTTGGGTCTCGTTGCCACTAAAAGATTGAGCAGTTCGTGTATTTTAAAGCTAAGCACCACATTATAGCTCTGGGCTCATTTTGGTTTTAACCCAACTGTAAAAGAAGACAAACTACTCGAAGGGTTACTTGCTGGATTTGTAGCAGAAGGTTAAAGTTAAAGCATTAACGCCAATAATTAGCAATGTTACTAAAAAAAAAAAGTTCCCAAATTGTATTCAAACACATTTTATTGGATGCAGCTAAAAATATAAAATGCAAATGTAGTCAAAATTAGTTGAGAAAGAAGAAATTATGGCAATTTTAGAGGAATACCAGATGATACTGCATTTCTGGGCTACAACTACTACTTTTGTGCCGACTGATTGTCATGAAAGTTGCTCAGAAAGTAGCTAAGAGTTCTTAATAAACTCGTAATTTGCTTTAAATCTGAGGTGAGACTTGATCGCTGGAATCTAATCCAAATGAGTGAACTCGCCTGTCCCAGTGTTCAGGATTGTAACATACTTACACTGACCTACAAACACACAAGAAGCGCCTCCACCTTATCCAGTCAGCCAAACCGAATTAACTAAATATCTGTAATGCTTTAGAAAACAGTAGCCATGATTGATAAATACCTTTAATTATTCAGGTGTGTGTCATATGGTATAGTTACAGCAACTTCTTTGAAGACAATCAGCAATTTAAATGTCATGAATGTGACAGTCCTAATCTTTCATCAGGGCACATCCCTGCCTTTTCTTTCACTAGAAGTGGAGCTATTTATTTAGTCAAAACTAAGGATTCCTGCTCAGAAAAATATACATATTTTTAGACAATTTCAGTTCTCCTCATCAAAGTTACTGACGGTTTTGCTCTGAAACATCCATCACTATTTAATATGCGTTGCTTTATTTCCCACTTCTGTCCCATACGAACCAAATAAATAGAAAACCAGTGGACTAGAAAGTAAATGTTAGCGGCTGCTTGTTTACTTTAAAGCCAGCGGCACCGAGAGGTCATTTCCATCTGAAAGGAGGCCCCTCCGTGGCTGCTGGCGTTACATTAGCTACAGTAGAAACCATTGTTACAGCTGTATCCGCCTCCTGCTGAGAAGAAACATTAACCCCCCACATAAAATACTAAATGAATATCCGAGCCGAGTGGTTAATGGCATGTTAAAGTTCGGGAGAAGGGTCGGGATAAGTTCAGGGAGTCTAGCTGCAGCTGACACAGCAGAGACACACAGATCGATAGTCAGCAGTAAATCTAGGCTAGCACGTCGTATCTACAGATAAATCCATTTCAAACAGAAAGCTGAACGATATGTGCTTTTGTTATTGTAACACGGTCGGTCGGGTTTGGCTGGTGGTCACAGCGGAAGAACATGGTGCAGCTAACAAGCTTTAGCGGTCAGTACAGTGTTCCTACAAGCTAGCGCTCACAGGCTAGCATAGGGTTAGCATGAGATAAAGTTTGGGTTGACGATACCAACATAAAACAACAGAGGTTTGTAAAGAAAGAGTTCAAGCTCCAGATTAAACCTGCGTTGTGAGCGATATTCTTCCTGGCTCGTTATTTTTTATTTTTCTTACCTGTCAGTCGGATTTTGATGCTGGACCCGTTCCTCCGATTCCCAGGATTCGACATCACTCCGGGAAAATAAAGAAAAGGATCACACAAACTTCACCTCGGAGTCACCCAAAATCACACCTCGACCCGAAAACGGAACCGCGGCTGACTTTAGTCGCGAACCATGAGCTTTGTTTTAGTTTCCCTCACGCATAAAAAGGTATTATTTCACCGCAAAGTCCTGCGCTCCTTCGAAATTGAACAACACAGGAGAACATTTTCAGGCAGGCTCAAGCACGTATCTGGCTGACGTACAGCTACGTCGACGCGCTCGCTCCCGAGAAGCGAAACGGAGAGCGTGTGCGTACCCGTGGTTGTAAGATTGCAGTCATAGATGACATATATAAACACAGTGTTTATATATGATACACTGTTTATATATGATATCTATGATTACAGTACTGTAGTGCTACTTTGCTTTTATTAGCAATAATGAAGCCTTAATATTTACACAAATGTGATTTCTTAGTTTTCTACTTTTTATTAATGTGCTAATATATATATATATATATATATATATATATATATATATATATATATAAGAATCACATTGTTATTATGGGGTATTGTGTGTAGAATTTAGAGGAAAGACCATAGTGACCATAGGTGAGGGTAGGAACGTAGACTGATCGTAAACAGAGAGCTTTGCCTTACAGCTCATCTCCACAATGGACCAATACAGAGCCCGCAATACTGCAGATGCTGCACCAATTCGTCTGCCAATCTCAATCTCAATCCTAATAAACTTAGTGAAAAAAGATCAGTTTAATGCAATTTGGAATCTGGGATTTTGCTTTGGCAGCCTCTTACGCTGAGATAAAGCCACACACCAAAAGTTGCTTATTGTTACAAGTTTTCCTGCTCACATGGTTAACATATATGGCAGCAGCCATCTTAAATGTTGACCTGGAAACCCCACTTTTGAAAGGAACCTTTCTTTCACGTATATGCAGCCACACACCAAAAGGGAAGTTAGCGCGTTGTTTAATTTTTAAGTTCTCATGCCTACAATGTGAACGAACTGAGGGTATTTCCAGTTCCCTCTTTTTGCTCCATGATGAGGACCAAAAACATTGAATTTTTATTTGAAGTATTTCAGATGTAATTTTTACTTTAATTACAACACTTTGCTCAGTAGTATTCTCAGAAGTAGAGTGGCACTAAATGCATTTTTTACTCTTTTTATCCGTCTTAAATGTAAAGCGCTTTGGTCAGCTGTTGTTGTTTTTATGTGCTCTAAAAATAAATTGACGTTGACATAGTACAGCAGATCATCTTTGTGACTTCCCAGCGAGAATCTCATGAGTTCAACTTGAACCTCCATTAAACTAACATTTGTGTGTTTGTCTCTGAGGAACCAGGAGGAAACACATCCATGTGGAAGGCCAACATGCAAAGTACAGCCAGGAACATTGTATGTCTCACGTGTTATTTAGGGCACCTTCAGGAATGTTTATCAGAAACGTGTGAGGCAGAAAAGCCCGAAGTAAAGCAGGGTATCAGGGATTAGAGCTCATCGGGTTTGGTTCTTTAGCGGGGCTGCAGCATTAGCTGAGGAAACAATGAAGTCTGTCTCCAGCCTGTTTATAGGGACACAATAAATCCACATAAGCGCCAAAGCTGCTCACACACTTCCAGAGGATATGCTTACACCCATGCACACTAGTCTCACAAGCAGACACGTGCAGGTATTTGTTTCACCTTTTTATTTGTCTGAGGCAAACATTTCTCTCCTCAACACACTCAGTGTAGTTCAAAGTCACAAGATAAAGAAAGGTGTTTTTTTTTAGTTTTATGCATCAGGACTTAATAAACAGGTCTGATTTTTACCAGGGTCACCTCAGATGTACAAAAAACACAACAGATTCTAACATGTCCTTATTGCAAAAGATAAAAGGAAAAGCAGTAACTCTCAGTAGTTGTTTTCTGTCTGGATTTATCAGATGGTTGTGGAATCATTTTGCCCCGCTCTTCTTTGAAACGTTGCTTCAGTTCATTGATGTTTGCAGACATTTCTTTCTGCACATCTCTTCACATTTCAGTCAGGTTGAAGTGTGGACTTTGACTGGATCATCACCACTCCTTGATCCTTTTCTTTAGTAGGTGTAGATGTGTTGTTGTTTGGGATGTGACCCAGTTTGGTCCCAGCTCCAGCTCACACATGGTCTCACATTTGACTCTAGATTTGGTTTGAAGAGGAGTACTGGGTCAACTCAGTGATTACAAGCTGCCCAGGTGCAGTGGCTGCAAAACAAGCAATGATCACCTCCCAGTCCCCACCATAGGGTTTGACCTTTAGCATGATGTGTTTGTGCTGATAGACTGGTGGGCTAAAGCTAAACCACTAACAGCTTAGGCAACTGTTACCATAGATATGCCTGTTACAGTCTGCGTTACAAATTTGTCTCCTTCCAGTTGAAGGAATCTACGTCGACCAATCACATCTTGTCACGTGGACAGCTGCTCAGCCAATAGCATGCCTAACGGACTCTTTGAGACACGCCCACAACAAACAGGAAGAAGCTTGTTGTCAATTTTGTTAGCGGACTTAAAGTTGGTAAAACCTAATTTAGCAAAAGCCATTTCTGCTAACGGTTTCCAAAGTTAACAAAAAGGCTAATCCGCTAAATAGTTCAGCTGTTAGCGGAACTGTGCCCACCACTGGGTCTCATCTATCCAAAGGTTCCTGAAGTTCTGTGGTTCTTTCAGACACGAGTTTCCAAACTAAAGTTGTTCTGCTGTGTTCTGTTTAAAAAGACCATTTCCCTTTTTTCGATCTGTAGTCATAAAGATGAACATTAATCCTGCTAAACGAGGCCTGAAGAGTCTGAGGGGGAGCTCACGAGTTTCTGCCATTTCAACGAGCATTGCACAGTCTGACCTTGGGGTGCATATACTGGGATGTTCACTCCTTGGATATGTTCTTGTGTTTTTATTTCTTATGAGTAATGTTTCTCACTACAGAACGATGGACTCCATATTGTTTGGAAAACGACCTTCAACTCCTCCCAGATTGACGGGCAGCAACAGTTGCTTCTCTGAGGTTATTGCTGATGTGTTTCCATCCTGACATTGTGCTAACTCACTGCTGTGTGCCTGTTTTTATAGAGGTGATAACTGATGACGATCAGTTAATCCGTTCGATCAGCACCACCTGGTTTCTTTAATCCTGCTGGATTATGAGGTGGTTGTTTTCTCACAGCTTTTTCATTTTGGATGTATTTTTTTTAATGACTGTAAAACTTGTTGCATGTTTTACACACCTTAGATTAGATTTAAATACTGTATGTCGAAACTGCTAAAAATCAGATAATTATGTCCCGATATGTAAAATCTTAAGACTTAAAAGAATGTGGACTTTACTTCTTTCACAATTACAGTACTTTTAAAGTATTTCAAAAGTCTCAAATCAGGTTTTACAGAAGAAAGTTGATGAGCGAGTTTTGGCCGGTGGCTGCAGTGACGCCCTTCAGCAAATTTCAAGTTGATTTTCGGTTTGCATTCACCTCTGAAGTTAGGCTGAAAGTTTGTTAAAGATACGGTAGTTTCAGTGCATAAAATGACAAAAAGGTTGTTTGGTCTCTGAGTGACACTTAAATAGATTTACCACCATTTCATAAACCTTTACAATACCATCAGGTTTTACCTTACACGGGTATTCTGGCAGAAATTACAACAGCTTCTGCAGAAAGTGCTCCTGACTGCAGTGGCAGTGCTACAGCTAGCTGCTGCCACTATTCCTCCCCACAGAAAGACATAAAACCTCCATTTAAATGCAGTAACTGTATGTAGTCATTAACTCATGGATATTTTCAGAATTAAACTGCATTCATCCAAGCTGAGGCCGTTCAGAGAGCTAACTGCAACAGGTAAGATATTCATTACCCTGTTTCTACAAAACTATCCATTTAATGTTGAACATCTAATACCGAGAAAATATATATTTTTTGTGGCAAAAACAAACAGTTCTTTTAAATAAATGCAAAATGTAAATAAAAAAAATTAATAAAATTGAACTTTTTACATCAATACATGATTTATTTTCATTTTAGTTTCAGATGAATGCTTCACATTTTGTACAAAATCATTAGAAAATGTCTAACGCTTTGAAACTCCACGGCTAATTCTCTTTTGTTCAGCAGCCTCAGACACCGGGCAGCATCCCGGACCGCCCGCTGAGAGTCGGCCCCACCTCCAGGTCAAAGTGCGACCCACAGTCCACTTCACACTCCGACTCGTCCCAGAGTGGGGATTTTAAGTCGCTGCCTTGCAGCAGGGTGAAGGTACATCTAGTAATGTATAAAAATACACAGCAGGATGAAGAATGGACCCTTTTTTTTTTTTTTTTTTTACAGCTTCTCGTCTCTCATCCTCACCATGTGTCTTCGATGTATGGACACAGTACCACATCATCAACACCATGCACGTTTTCATGACACGTCACTGGTTTATGATTAAAATCAATAAATGACAGTGGGCCTGTGGAGCAGAGGGAGGACGAGACCCGACCCTCTGACTGGACAAGGTAAACATGAGCAGGGACAAAAAGGGAGGGGGGTATTTAATATAATTACTAGACGTTTTACTAATGTACATGCCCAGCACACACACACACACGCACACACACAAATTAGGTCTCTGCATAAACAGACACTTTTACTTGCAAACACCTCTGCCTCACGTCAAAGCTTCAAAAATCATGGACGCCACTTGTGACAGAGGAAAAGTGTGCACCCACATAATTATTCACTAAAAAGATGAATTTGGTTTTGTTTTTTTACATCAACTTAAAGAAATCACACTTTTTAAATCAGAAAAACAAGAAAAACCATGAGATAGAGGGGCAAGAGAGGCACTTACACACCATCGCTGTACACAGTGCTCGAGTCTGTGCGTGCGTCCAGAAATAAGACACGGATACATCTCCTCTCAGTATTTGTGTACTTTTGTGTTTTTGGACCACACTCACGGGGGCTGGTTTTTACAGATGGAGCATGTTTGTTTTTAGCAGTTGGCACATGTACATGCAAAGCTTCAGTTTTGGCCTGCGCAGGCCAACTGAAAGGGGTGGGGAGGAAAGGATAAAGATTTGTGTGTGGACCAAAACAAAAAGAAAAACGAACGAGATAGACTGATGGACAGGTTCTTGATCGACCACCCCCCCATCTTTAATCCTGTCCGCTGCCCCCTCCACACCCTTGCATCTGACGGTTGATAGCAGCACCAGAGGAGCCCCTCTGAACCACGAATCTGCTGAGTCAGTCGGTCTCGAGGATGAGCGGTGGTTGCTCGTTCTCCTCCTCTAAGCGCAGGTCGTTGAGGTCTTCTTCAAGCCCTGCCCCTCCCACGGCACCTTGTTCTTCGCAGTAACCTAGGCAACAAGTTCAACGATCAAAATCAATGTGACAAACTTCTTCATTTTCATTTACAAAGACCAAAACTGAATGGTTTGTAAGTTACCACTAATACCAACATGTCATTATTCAGCTTTATTTAAACAAGCGATTAATTCAAATGAAAAGTTTCGGAGTTTATTTTCTTATTCGTTTGTTATTGGCACCACTCATAGTATCTGTTAGTTTGTTAATTTGATCAGAATTAAGCAGCATCTCCAAACCCAGATAAATCAAAGGGCCATCTAAAACAGGTAAGATATTAACTCTTTCATAACCTTTCCACAAAACCCCGTTTTAAAATGCTTAAGTAACATGATCACTCATAAGTCACACATTTCAACAAATATTTAGTAGATTTACTCCCAATGAAAAAGGAATGTATATCACAGATTTTTAACTACAATCATCTTACGTTCAGAAACGATTTGTAGCTGAATTGATCAAACATTAAAAATATCATTATGTTCAATCTATGCTCAGAGTGCGTGTTGTGAATCACGCTCAGCTACTACCCCACCAAGTTTTAGCTCAAAACCTGTGAAACTGACAGATTTATAGACATTTCTCCATTTGGTAATGTGAATCAGCTGTGTGGCCATTTTGAATTAGGCTGCCTCAAGCATTTTAGAGGTTTTAGACGTGCTCAACACAAAGCAGGGGAACATAAACTTTTTAAATTCATCCAGTCAGAGGCCAGCTCCTACCTTTAGCGGCAGCTGCGCTGTAGGTTTGGGCCACCAGGGGGCGATCATGTGACCCCTGCTCCAGGATCTCATTGGTCGGCTCAGTACTGCTGTCTAACCTGAGATGGGTGACAGAAAAGTTGAACATTAAATCCTACAAAAGCAGCCTTCAGGTTGGAGATAAGTGCAGAAGTCATGGTTCCTGTGAATCATAGTTATTTATTCTTTATTCCCAGCTTCACCTGTGCTGCTTCATGAGCGTGCACTCTCCCCCCTCCTGTGGATCTAAGTTGTACAGGTACAAGTATCCATCAGCTGCGGCGACCAGCAGCCTGGGAATCTTCTGAATCCTGGTTTAAAATGAGACAAATGGAAACTCGTGAACATCCTGTTGTTAATAAAGTCTAGTTTTAAACACTGAAGCTGACCAGCAGCTGGTGGGACAACATCCTGCTCATTTGCATTTTTGCAGCAGGCTTAAGTTTGTCATGTGATTTTCTCACAAACAGGAAGTGATTCATATCCAACAAAAGCAAGAATGGATTTTTTTTTTTTCTTTAAACAAGAAACGCTGGTTTCAGCAAAAACAGCAAGATCAAATGTCACATCTAAAAAAAAAAAAAAGTTTAAACTTTGTAAACCAAAAAGCAAAAATACCACCAAGGCGCAAAGATTGATGGAGGACATTCCTGTTAGTAAATATATGAGTAAAGGGTAAACATTGTTATGAAGTTAAATGATTACATTTTATCTGTTTATGTAGTATTTGATGATGTAATGTTTAAAAGATAGAGACTCAAAAACCAACATAACCAAAGCAGAAGTTTAGACACCCTGAAGATCTTCTTAAAGTCTGTGGGATAAAGCATCTCACAAACTGACAACTACAATAGTCCTCAAACCCTAAATGACTACTGGCCAGTTGCTCTCACTCCAGTAGTGATGACATGTTTTGAAAAGCTGGTCAGGAGTTACATCACTTCACTCCTCCCACAAACCCTTGACCCCCACCAGTTTGCCAACAGGAAGCCATAGGCACAGCCCTCCATGTTTCTATGTCCCATTTGGAGAAAAGAGAGCTATGTGTGGATGCTCTTTGTAGACTATAGCTCTGCTTTCAACAGCATCCTCCCCAACAAACGAGTGGATAAACTGGGGGAACCGGGACTTCCACACTCCACCTGCACATAGGTAAATTGTTTCCTGTCTGACTGCAGTCAGAGGGTTCGAGTGGGCCATCATATCCATGGTTCTCAGCCTCAACATGGGAGCCCCCAGGGCTGTGTGCTGAGCCCCCTGATCTACGCCCTCTACACTTGACTGCACCCCTGCTCACCACAGCAACACCATAGCCAACATTTTCAGATGACACTACAGTGGTGGGGCTTATCAGTGGGGGGATGAGGTGGAACAACTGATTGCTTGGTGCAGGGAGAACAATCTGCTCTTCAACACCTCAAAGACTAAGCAGCTGATCATCGACTTCAGGAAAAAGAAAATGTCACTTCGACCACCCCTGATTATAAGCGGAGAGTGTAGAGAGAGTAGCTCACTATTGTTTCCTGGGAGTCCATATTTAGGAAAATCTGACATGGAGCGTGAACACCTCTGAGTTGCTGAAAAAGGCCCAGCAGAGACTGTACTTCCTGAGAGTGCTCAGGAGGAGGAACATCTCTCAGAGACTGCTGAGGTCTTTCTACCAATGCTCCATAGAGAGCATCTTAACATACCTCCTCACTGTGTGATATCTTAGCTGAACAGTGGCTCAGAGGAAAGTGCTCCAGAGAGTTATCAACACAGTCCAGAAGATCGTGGGCTGCTCTCTTCTCTCACTGAAAGATCTACACAGTTCCTGCTGCATAGAAAAAGCCCACAACATCTTCAAGGACACGAGTCACCCTGGACATGATCTGTTTGAACGGTTACCATCAGAGAAACGATACAGATCAATCGAGACAAGAACAAACAGATTTAAAATAGTTTTTATCTACAAGCTGTAATAAGAACAGAATAAGTGCAATAAGGAACAACTAGTGTCATATCAATCTGCTTGTGTTGCACATTGGGAGTTGGTTTAAAATCTGTAATTACCTTTTATACATCTATCTGTCTGTCTGTCTATCGATCGATCGATAACTGTATAAATAAAAATGATCCTTCTGTTATTTAGATTGAAAAAGTCTGCACAAAATATAGATCAACAAAATCCACCACAAAAACTAAAGTGCAGGTGCAGTTTCCAAAATAACTAAATAAAATGATGTTTAAGATCTGTTGAGCATAAATGTAACATATAACAAAATATATGTTTCCTTTAAATGAGCTATAACTTCCATAACTTGTAACAAGGTGATCATCTGACCCTGAAGCTCGTGGTGTTTCTTCTTCCTCTGTTCCTGCAGGAATGATCCATTTCTCTGATGCTCTGTCTCTGATCACCTGACTCTGTTCTTGCTCCATGGACTGTGCATCTCAACAGACACAGCTGAGTTGCGCATGTTGGTACCGGCAGTTTAGAGCGGGGGAGACCCAGCCGAGCTGTGCCTGCACTGGCAGCCCAAAGCCGGGTGGGGGGAAAGACAAAAGCCGAGCTGCGTTTGTACCGGCAGCTTGGAGGGTGAGGGAGAGATAACTGAGCCGTGCACTGTCTGTACCTGCAGTTTAGAGCTGGGTGGAGAGACAGCTGAGCCGCGTGTTGTTTTAGCTTTTTAGCTAGCTAGTATTGTGCGCAGCTCATTAGCGTTACGCAAGTACCGACAGGTGGAAGGGGTGTGTGTGCGCAGTTTGGTTCGGTAGTTCAGCGCACTCGGTTCTGTTAACGGGGCGGGGTTCCCCGCTTGTATAAGGGGAAACACTGACGTATTTACACCATGAAATCAGCATATCATGATATAATTTATTTTCCCGGGCAAGCTTTTTTTTACCGGTATTATTGTGAACGATGTGATATGGCCCAGCCCTAATATCTGGGAAGCAAACTTAAATTTTGTTGTACTCGGGTGCAATGGCAATAAAAGTCTATTCTAATTCTAATCTGCCAAAAGAACTGTCAGATCTTTCATAAAATTCATAGCAGATTTCTTCTTCTATTTTTATTTTATTTTTTTGGCTTTTCCCTCAGAGCAGCCGACTTGGGACCCGAAAGTCCCAGGTTCAATCCGCAGTTATTGCACGTCTCGTGGTGTCTCTGAGCAGCACACCATATCCCCAATTTGCTTCCCGGGCACCGTCAATAGGTGCTCACTGCTCCACTTAGTGGTGGATGGGTTAAATGCAGAGAGACAATGTCACCATTGTATGGAAACATACAACGATGACAACACATAACACATTATTATTATTATTCAGGAGTCTCCACAGCGAGTCATCCTCCTCCATCTCTGTCCTCTGCATCCTCTGTCCTCACTCCACCTCCTCTAACTGCATCCATAGATCTCCTCTTTGTCTTTTTCCTGGCAGCTGCATTTCTAACATCCTTTTACCAGTATACCCACTGTCCCTCCTCTGGACATGTCCAAACCATCTCAGTCTGGTCTCTCTAACTTTATCTCCCAGTTGTTCAACCTGTGCTGTACCTCAGATGATCTCATTCCTAATCTTATCCATCCTTGTCACTCCTAAGGAGAACCTCAACATCTTCATTTCTGACACTTCCAGTTCTTTCTCATGTCTTTTTGTCCATGTCTCTGTCTCCAGACCATACAATATAGCTGGTCTCACCACTGTCTCGTAAACTTTTCCTTTGACCTTTGCAAATCACTCCAGAAACTTTTCTCCATCCACTCCATCCTGTCTGGACTCTCTTTTTCATCTATTTACCACATTCCCCATTTTCCTGGACAGTGGACCCCAAGTACTTGAAGTCCTGCACCTTTGTGACCTCTGCTCCTTGTAGCCTCACTGTTCCACCTCCTCCCTCTCATTCACACACATGTACTCTGTCTTACTACAGCTGACTTTCATTCCTCGTCTTTCATGCATACCTCCACCTCTCCAAGTTCTCTTCCACCTGTTCCCTGTTCTCACCACAGATCACATCATCTGCAAACATCATAGTCCACAGGGATTCCTGCCTGACCTCATCTGTTAGTCGGTCCATCACCAGAGCAAACAAGAAGGGGCTCAGAGCTGATCCTTGATGCACTCCCACCTCCACCTTTAAGCTATCTGTCACTTCTACAGCACATCTCACCACTGTGCACTGGTGTTTAATATTGTAGTTTTTTGTTCGAGGTAACACAGATTTTCTGGTGTTTATGTTGGGATAAAGTGATGGTCAAGGCAAACCTTCCATTTTTATGTCTTTAGGTGGATCCTTCCTTTTTTGGGGGGCGCGTTTTGGTTCATTATTGTATCGTAGGGACCATCTTCCTTTGATCTTATTTGTTTAAATCAAACATGTTTATGTAGAGAATTTGCTGAAATTTAAACTTTTCTTCCCTCAACCAGAAAGTTGTTCACAACACCAGAAACAAGGCCAAATGATAATCAGTCCACTCATGTGCTTTACAAATGGAGGAGTTATTTTTAATGTAATTCTGGGCTTTTCTCCTTTCCCCCAAATAGATATTTGCGCACATAAAAAAATGTAAAGAAGACATTTTTTAAATTTAAAATGTAAGGAAGTAATCTTTAACTTTCTTTAGTCTGGACATCAGTTTATCGTTTACTCGCTTTATTATCCACAGGAACAGGTTTCGATCTAAATGTAGCTCTAACAGATGTTTGTGAAGGTGTGTTTCTGCTCACACAGCTAAGGCGCAGATGTTTTTGTGGCCGCAGAAAGGCAGACGAACTGTGGCGAAGGCTCGTCCCTGGGTAAACATTTCTGTGACCTGCGATGGCAGGTAGGTGGTGGACGCCATCAGGACCTTCCCCAAGTACCCTCCCCATGTGGTGGGCTCCTCTGCTGGCCTGAAAACACACACAGAACCAGCGTTTTCATTCTGAGGAGGAGACACAAGTCCACGGCAGATTGAGTTGGACAGATCGGTACTTACACGTACTTCTCCTTCTGCGTCTCCAATTTGAAAATGTGGACCGTTTCTGTGTTGCTGGAGGCAGAGAGGTACAGCCCCTCCATGCTGAACGCCAACGAGCAGATGCTCACGCACCTAAAACGAGATGCGAGCGTTCGGCTTTTGAAATCATGCACATATGTAAACAGTCAAAGCGACGGCTCTTAGATCTTCTACCTCTTGACGCCTCGCCGAAACTCAAAGAGCTTCTGTCCTTCTGGGATGGAGAAGACACGGATGACTGTGCCCTGGGAGGAAGTGAAAGGTGCACGCAGAGAAAGAAAGCAAAAAAAAAAAGTGGATCTTTATTCAGTCAGACGGAAACCTGTCCCCAAACAGCGACTACCTTCTCTGAGGCCGTGGCGAGTTTGGTGCCACTGGCATCGAACGCCAGAGCCGCCAATGGGCTGTCGTGGGCTGGAATCATATTTGCTGCTCGCTGGAAACAAACAAAAACGCATCAGTGTTTAGCGTGACTTTCACCTGTACGATGTGGAGCAAAACGTTCTGCAAGTTAACGACTAAACAAAGACAGCTCAGTTACTGCATGTTGGTGTTCACCTACCAGGTTGACCGTGTCGAACACTTGCACCTCTCCTATTGTAGCGCTGCCCGGGTACGCCAAGTAACAGTTATCGTTGCTGATGGAGAGGGTGCACAACCCTGAGGAGACACGAGCACAAACTAAACTGAAGGCCGGACGTTTGTCAGAGAAACGCAAACAACTCTGTCGCCTGAAATGCAAGAGTTTAACACCACGACGAGAACGGAGCGATGCGGCTGGTTTGGTCCAACTTTGTAAATGTGAAGGGTTTTGTTTCAGTTTTGGGTCAAACTTGTATCTTTCGTGGCCTGCAGTAAACGGTTTAGTACAAATTAGATGAATAAGACAATATACTATGACTGTTTATATTTTTTAAATTCTGTGAATGTTTATGAAGCATTCACTCTAGTGTGATCCATTTTTCTTCCGTACATTTTTCAGCATCTTTCTCTTTCCACAGTTTTTGTGCTATTTTCAACAAATCATACATCACAACATCCATGGATGAAGGACGAAACGTCTCAACAAAAAGAAAAGAAACCGTCCAGATGACCTGGCTGAACTTGTTGCATATTTCAAAACGTTCAGCTCCTTTAGGACAATCCTGCTATGACTTTTAGTATTGGTGCAACTTTAGCCGTTTGAAATATTTAGCCTTTTCTGCTATTTTTTTTCTTATAGAAAATGAATTGAGCTCATTTTACATCCTTCAAATCTTTAGATCTGTTTACAGCCTTTTACTGCTCCTTGCACATTTTGTTCTGGTTCAGCTTCTTGGTGCAAAGTTGAACTTTTTTTTTCAGCTATTTTCAGCTAATCTCAGTAGTTTTTTCAGCTGTTTTGTGCTCCTTTTAGATCCTTTCTGTTAACTACAACATTTTTTGTGCTTCTTCTAACTTCTTTCTGCGAATTTCAGCTTTTATGCTCCTTTCAGCTTATTTATGCAAGTTTCAGCTTTTCTGCTATTTCAGCTACTATTTATCTGTTTTTATGCTAATTGGATATTTTTTGACTAATTCCATATTTTTGGCACTCATTTAAACATTTATTTTAGTCGAATTCAGCAAAAATGTCCTCTCCACGTCCTTCTGGTAATTTAAGCTTTTTTCTGCATTTTTTTGTTGCTAATTTTCAGCTGGGTTTTTTTTGTTGCTAATTTCTACTATTTTCAGATAATATCCACTTATTTCAGCTTTTTTCTTCTAGTTTCAGCCTTTTCTGCTCTTTCAGTTACTATTTAGCTCTTTTGATGCTAATTTTAGTTTTTCCAGCCAATTCCACATTTTTTATAGCTAATTTCAACTCTTTCTGCTTCCTTCTGGTAGTTTAAGCCTCTTTTTGCCTTTTCAACTTACTTGGCTATTTTTTTTTCTAATTTCAGCTATTTTAGCTAATTTCCTAATTTTTGTGCTCATTTATGCTTCTTTAAACCAAATTCAGCAAATATGTGTTCTTTCTGCTTTCTTCTGCTAACTTAGGCTTCTTCCATTTCAGCTACAATTTTTTTTAGCTAATTTCAGCTGTTTTTCAGCAAGTTTTTCTGCAAAAGTATTCACACTGCATTTACGCAGGAAATCTCCAGTTTATTCTGAAGTCACTTGTTGACAGATCCTGACTCGCTGTGATGCTGACAGTGCAGAGTTTAGACCCTCCCCTCTAGTAAGAGCGGGTTCTTTTGGTTGTTGCTTCTGGGAGAGTTACAGTGTTTTTGCATTTTGAACACTAAAACTCACAGCTGGCTGTCGCACAACTGAATACTGACAGGAAGCAGAAATCCAAGTCCGAATCTCAGGTGAAGGACGGCAATATTCTGCTGGAATATTACGTCATCATTATCGACCTCTAGAACTCCTAGATAACACTTAACACATTTCTGTGACTACCTGATGGGACTTTTTCTGTGTTTATTATGAATAAGCATAAACTGTAGATGTAATGACATCACAACCTTCAATTTTCTAAATACAGTATGTATTTCAGTATGGAACTAATATACGTTATTATGTTTAGACTCAACAACTGTTAACCATTATACTGAAGACATTTTTAACAAGTCTAAAGAACGAAATATTTTGCTGCAGATGCTGCCTGCTCCATCAGCTCAGGCCACAATGCATTATGGGTGTATTTTGATAGATGTAGGGCACAAGATGTGAATACCTTTATTATACCACGTGACGTTAAGTAACGATTTAGTGAATAAACGTCTGAAAGATCGAGCACGACATGGCAGAAACATCTTCCCAGTCAAATTATCAGAAGCTCTGACACAGCAGCAATCCACATGGTTCAAACATATGAGTTATTATGGTTTTACTTTTTTTTTTTTTTGCAGAGCTTTGATATTTTGCAGCTTCGACAGCATCAGCAACAATATGGACGCTGCTCAAAATAGACTTCAAGAAACTCAAGTATGTTTGAAACAAAGAAAAAAAGTCTATTTTATTAGTTTAACTCACATTTACAGGCTTTATCAAGTGATTTTTTTTTTTTCAACTGACCTGAGGGGTTGGGGGGCGTCTCTCTGATAGTGTGCAGCACTTTCATGTCTCTGATGTTGTGAATATAGAGCGACTCCTCCAGACACACAATCAGCCTCTGCAGGGAAACAACATCATCAGCAGAACAACTAACCAAGTGCTCTCCTGAACTTCATGGTTGGTCTATGAAGCCGCTGCTTTAAATATAAGCTAAGCTGTGATTGCACCTTGAGGTGGTGCATGTTCAGAGGGATGTCTCATCTCCTAACCTGTCTGTTGAGCTTCACAGCCAGTATGGTGTTTGAATAGGAGTAGTTGCAGATCTCAGTTCCTTTCTTGAAGTGACAGACTTTCAGCTTCCTGGGCGCCTTCAGGCTCACGATGGCCACGAGGCTGCTGGAAAACAGGCGCTCCACGATGCACACATCCTCCGTGTCGGCTGCAGGGACACAAACACTAAACATCACTTTTGCTCTGCAGCGTCCTCCTATTATTTACTGACAAAAAGGATGAAAGTGAAATGGAAACAACGAGCTGAGTGGAAAAGAAAGACTTTTTTTTTTTCCTGTTTATGCTGATTCCATTTAGCTTCACGTGAGGTTTCCTCCTTGAGCTCTCCTTGTGACACCCGTGTTACCATTGTTCCCAGAGGGAGTCACGCTGCCACAGGCTGAGCGCTTGTGCCTTACCTCACCAGATAAATGGAAAACAACTAAAGGACTAGCAGCATTTCACTGCAGTAGACTGAGCAAAAACAGGCCTGTGGTGCCTGTTTGGCCTCCTGAACACACCATTAATATAATGCATACTTTATTTTCTCCAACTTCTACAATCAGTGGCACCGTCTCTGTACAGGTGTACTGAAGCAGATGCTGCTTGCAGAGAAACCACAACCTTCCCGCTTATATTTTAGACAAAAATATAATTTAAGCTTAATGCCTGATTTAAATTGAACTGTGTTCAGCGAGACTGCACCTAAAACTTCACCTCCTGCCTCCAACAGTTAAGTGAGATACTGGTTTCAGTGGGAGTAGCTCCAAGCTAACTGTGTGTGTTAGGAGAAGGGGTCAGGCAAAATCTGTACTCCTAAATTTAAAATGACATAATTCCCATTTGTCTTTCTTTTGACTGTACCTTTTGAGCTTATGGGTGTTAGAAACGTGCTGGCAGATGTTTATTATGTAATATTTAAGTTACAAACTAAACTCTTAAGTGGCTGCTTCACGTCTAGACAATACATCAGACAGATCGAGCAGTGATTTAACAGTCCTGTGTAGTTTCATCCGTTTCTGACTTCATGAATAAACTGTATTCACACATGGATTGATGGTGTTAAAGTAAGAACAGAGCGTGCACAATACTTACTACATTCATAAATCTGCTCCAGTTTGTCCACTAAGGACAAGGAGAAAAACTTGTATCCTGATTTGGTGCCGACAGCTAAGGACCTGCACAAACAAATACCAGAAAGTGTCTGTGACCAAGAACCGTTGGATCAGCGAAGCACCACAGACAGACACAAGAAGAGCGGTTGTAACGGCCTCTCATGGTCGGAGGCAGCAGCCTGTCACAAAGACTTCAGTCGGCTCTGCTCTCTCCATGTTACTGGATACACTGGATATTAGCTGCCAGACGGCAACTGTTGTCACAGGACCGGAGTTTTGCAACACCACTGGGCCCGTCTGCTCTGGTGTTGTGCTGAAAAAAAGCACTCATGTCTGGGGAGCTTTTATGAATGCATTTATTCACTAAATAAATGTAAAAAATTGACAGACACTTCTATTTATCAGTACCCTTAACACATTTACCAACAATTATTTAAGTAGGATTTATGTATATAATGTGTTTTTCTAAAGCAAGCTTGGTTACCAGGATATTAATTTCCATTTATAATCCAATAAAGAGTGATCAAATTATCAATTCCTTACTTTACAGCCAAAATGACCCCTGGGAGCAACAAGGAAGCATTTACCAGGGGGTGACTGATATGGCAGTCTAGTCGTCCATTAAAGACAGCATGTATAAATATATCAAAATGAGCAAACTGCTTTCAAATGCAGGGGTGCTTTTAATCTGCACAACACCAGTGTCAAGAGTTAAAAATGACCCACAAAGTCCAAAGTAAATAAAAGTGACCCAGCTAAAGCATTTCACATTATCCAACTCGTGTTAGCAGATTCTAACATATCTAAATTAAGTCAGGTATTCACCATTAAAGCTGTTCATTACCTGCTGTCCAACAATTAGGGGACATAATTATAACTTCAACCTCAGAAACAGGGAGCTGTTGGGGCTAAAGTTAGCCCCCCCATAGGACAACACACCAGCACGTTAGCATGGCTAAGCACGGGTTAAGTAAAATCGTCTGGATGATTAATTTATTATTCTGACCAATTTTCGTCATGTCTACAGTGAAAACTTTCGTTCTGGACATTCACATCGACACCTGTGACCCCGTTAGCTCAGACTCAGCGAGCTAACTAGCTAACGGGAGCTAGCCTGACAGCTCACAGGCCAGCGGAGCCCCCGACTCTCTCCCCGGCCCGGCCTTACGTGGTGTCCTGGTTAAAGTTGGCGAAGAGGAGCTGGCTGTCGCCAGCATCCCCGCTCTGACTGGCCAAGTTCATGAGCTTGGCACCATCGAGACAAACAGGTCCGGTTGAAGTAGCAGCAGCTGGGCTGGAATGACTTTTAGTGTCGCGCTTTCTTTCACAGGTACATCTTTCGGTATCCAGCGCCGCTGTACTGATTGTTGTTGTTTTTTTAGGGGATGGTGCTAACTCTCTGTGCGCATGCGCAGCGTTCACTGCGTGCAACGCTTTTAAAGGGTCCGCTTTCATAAATGTGCATTCATTTAAAAAAAAAAAAGAAGAGGACTATCAAACAAATAATAAAACTTTTGTCCGTCTTCTCACGGATAAGACGGGAGATGTAAACAATAAACAAACTATTGGGAAAACACGAGTGTAACGGAGCATACACTCGTTTACATTTACACATATTTAATGTCGATAACTTGATTTGCTGTAACAGCGCCCTCTACCGACGGGGTACAAACAACAATAGATAATTATATAGAAAGCATATAAAACGAAAAGTAAATTGAAGAAATTATATTAAAAAAAACTAAACAAAAAAGCAGCTACATTATAAAACTATGTAAAATACTAAAAACAGGAACATGTCTGCATAGGTTTTTGCCAGGAACTTAACCAATGTTTGAAGCCACTTAGAGAGGTCAATGTCGAGAGCTTCAGGTCTTTTTGCAAGATATTCCAGGAAACAGGAGCGGAGTAGGAGAAGGCCATTTTGCCTAGTTCACTGAGGGAACACTGCAGGTAACAATGTCCTGAGAGTGCATGCTGTAGCTGCACTCATGCAGAGACATGTAGGAGGAGATGTATGAAGGCAACAGACCAAGAAGTAATGTAAAGATGAAAATGTACCAGTGGGAAAATCTGTATGAAGTTAATGATATCCAGTTAACCAGTGAATGCAGGGTGCAGTGGTGGGTATGATAGTTACAGACAGTTATGAATCTTAGTGCACCATGATAGACGGCATCCAACATCTGCAGGAGCATTCATGTAAATAATGTCACCATAGTCAATGGAAGGAAAGAAAGTTGCAGTTACAAGGTGTTTCTTAGTAATCAGAGTTAAACAGGATCTATTTCTGAAAAAGAAAACCAGTTTTACTTTCAGTTTCTTTACCAAGTTTTCGACATGAGCCTTAAAAGAGCAATGCAAGTCGACCAAGATACCCAAGTATTTGCAAGAATTGACAAACTCAACATCATTCGAAGATAAAATAGAGGGACGAATTGCTGGGACCAACTTCCTGTTTGAAAACAACATCCCTTTGGTTCTGTCGGTGTTTAGGACAAGTTTGAGACGGAACAAATCTGACTGGATGATGTCGAAAGTGGATTGCAAAAGATGGAAAAACCTCAGCAACTGTTTTAGCACGACAATAAACAACTGTGTCATCAGCATAGAAATGTAAGGATGCATCAAGGATGGTCTGACCTATATTACTTATGTAGATTGTAAAGAGAGTGTGTCCTAAGATTGAGCCTTGTGGTACACCACTGTTGACTGTTAAATTACTGGAGGAAGTACCATTATCTTGAACACATTGCCTCCGATCTGAGAGCTTATGACACAAGATGTCATGATCCACAGTGTAAACAGCTTCAGACAGGTCTAAGAAAAGTGCAGCACAATAATCCTTAGCATCCAATGCTTCAACTATGCCATTAAAACCTTCAGTGAAGCAGTCGTTGTGCTGTGTAGTTTCCTGAAACCAGATTGATGGAGAGGTAAGATGTTAAAATAATGAAATGTTCCATAATCATTTAATTAAAACAGGAATAAAAAGAAAACAATACATATTGTCCGTATAACAGAATACCTATAGTATTTTAAAAAACAAAACATTTCTTCATTTCTTTTGGTTTTGTTTTGTTTTCAAAAAGTAGTTCAGTAGAGGGCAGCAAAACAACTAAAAAAACACCACATTTGGCTTAAGCTTTCTTACAAAATAGGATGATCATGATATGGTTGTGATAATTGAAAATGATTTAAATTCATACATATCTAAGCAGAAATACTGATACAGAAATAAAACAGGTCTATTGAAGTGAGGTTCCTTGTAAAGATTATAAAAAGTTATCTTACCTGCAGCAGGTAACTGTAGCACTTTTGGTGCAGTCTGGGTTTTTTCCTGCAGGAATAATATAGTATCTGTAATATACTTAGGTTAGGTTGATAAAATGGTGTTCACATGAACCACTGTGCAACATTAGCAGTTGTTTAAAAACTACAGCAATCCACTTTATAGTCTCCACCTTGCTCAAACTAGCAGTTAGATGGATAATCTTCAAGTTTATTCAGTTTAGTTTATTTCTATAGTGCCAAGTCACAACAGAAGTCGTCTCAGAGCACTGAACAGAAACATTCATATATAAAAATAATAATTTACCATTATTTATCTGAGGAGCAGACTGCTTTGAATTTAACTTCATCACAGACTCTCAGCTTGAGCAAGCATGAAGGCGACAGTGGAAAGGAAAAACTCCCTCATGAGGAAGAAACCTTTAGCAGAACCAGACTCAGGACAAGAGGCCATCTGCTTCGACCAGCTGGGTTTGAGAGGAACAGATACACAATGGCAGGTTGAGAATCACATGTTTAAATAGAAATAATATAAAATGAAAACTGTTCAATTTTAACATCATTTAAGAAAATGAGGTCAATTTGACCTCCAATAGTCTAAGTCTATAGCAGCATAACAAGCCAGCTCTAACTATAGGATTTATTGAAAAGGAAAGTTTTAAGCCCAGTTTTAAAATTGGATAATGTGACAGCCTCATGGACAGAAACTGGAAGTGGTTAATCTTGTCATAATTAAACTTTATTTTGTAACTGAGATTGCTCAAAGAGTTGTATATAACAGGTAAGACATTTGTTCATTGTAAGTTTTTCAAAGAACCCCACTTTGAAAGATGTGAACATTCCTTCATAAAATAATGAGGATGTGCACAGTGTATATCTTTATTAAAGATTCAAATCAGTGTCTGTTTACCCTTTGCAACCAATAAATTTAACTAAGTTAACTCGAAATTGTCTCTAGGTGTGAGTGAGAGAGTGAATGGTTGTTTGTCTTGTTTGTCTCTATGTGTCGCTGTGATGGACTGGAGACCTGTCCAGGATGTCCTCTTGCACAGTGATAGCTGGACATGGGCACCAATGACCCCGGTGACCTGGAAAAGAAGAAGTGGGTAAAAATAATGGATGGCTGGATTGATATCCACATCACTATTTCACAAGGGCTCACTCTGACTACTTTTTTTTTTTTTTACCAGGTCTTCTGTATAAATCTGGGCTTCACAATTTGTGAAGGTCTGCATCGGTCTGTGTTAATCTGGTACAGGCTGAGACATGAGAAGGAAGCTGCACCAACCCAACCGTAGCGTGGAGTGTGAGTCAGTCATCGGCTGAGCGTAGCCTCTGGCGTGTTTCAGGTGTTAATCAGTCTGAGCCTGTCAAGCGGTGATTGTGACATATTAAAATGTTTAACTGGAAAGTGAAACATGAATCAACAGACAGAGGCGGACTCTGCAGGAAGTTATCAGGATCTCCCCGAACCACAGGAAGGACACAGAGTTCAGACCGACGGTTGGAACAGGGACAGAAAGGAAAAAGAAAACAGAACACAGCTGGTGGAAAAAACTGAAAAGTTTCAATCAGATAAAATCAGACCACTGTGATGGAAACAAGCTATAATCTTTAGCCATGGCTTAACAAGTTGTTTAAAATTAATTATGTTGCAGCAAAACTAACATTCTTTGAACGAATGCATGTCTTGCATAGCAAAGTTTAAAATAAAGCTCTCGTACAATCTGTTAGCACTCAAGAGTATATGTTGTGAATGACTCTCAGCTACTACCACGCCAAATTTGACCTAAAATCTGTAAAAATGACAGAGTTGTGACACTTTTTGTGTTTGCTAAGGTTGATCAGCCGTGGCAACCATATTGAATCGCATTGTCTTCAGAGGTAAGAATTATTCAATATGTGATATTTTGCTAACAGACACACAGAGTTGAGTTGTAGCCAAAAGGTTTTAAGCAACAATTTAGAAAAATCGGTGTTTCAAGCACGTGTTAGGGACAACTTTCAGCTACTACCGCACCAAATTTGACCTCAATATTTAAAAATCTGATTTTATTTTTCTGCATTAAAAACAGATCTTCAGCCGAGCAGTCATGCACCTTTATGCATCACCTGCGGATTTCCTGCAGCAACTCTTTCTGTTCTCTGTGATAATCATTCTGCGTTGGCAGCGTGTCCTTTGGTCCAGTTTCCTCCTCGCAGGGCCGGAGAGGCCTCTGATCCTGCAGGAGTCTGTCAGCACAGAGGGCTCAACAGAAAGCAAAGACTTTCCTGTAAATCATTGTTTGTTTTGTGGATAATGTCATAAACTTATGATAACTGGAGCTTCTTCTCTCAGGCTGACTGTGTAAACTACAGCAGCATGTTTCATCTTTAAATTGAAACTCTCACATACGAGCACATCCTGTTTGGTTGTTTAACTTTGCATCTTTTTGTGCAGGGAGGGAAGTCTATTTACCTGTATAATGTGGTTGTTTGACTGCGGCCATTGGTACTGAAACTTATCTGTAAACACAGCGGTGGATGAACGAGGCCCATGTTTGCTCGCAGCGTGGACACGTGTTTGCATAAAGTGCATGTTTTCTTCCTCCCAGCTGCTTCTGACGACCTCTGCTGCTGGATAATCTTTAATTTTCCATTCACTCCCACAGTGTGTGTGTTGGAAAAAATATTTCATTGAAGCAGATTGTTCATTAATTTAGTACTCTTGTTACGTCCACCATAAACACATTAAAGGAGGACACGAGACACAAAAATGAGGGTTCAAAATATTCAGTTTATTAAAGCTGCTGCTTCCTGTATAAAAAAAACCAAACAAAACAAAAACAAAAAAAAGATTAGGAACACCCAATTCCCATGTCCACCAAAAAAAAAAGACACAAAACCCAAAGTACAAACTTAAAGGAGAACCTGGTGAGCCGGCTGAACCAAACAAAAAGGTACAGCAGTGGGCCTACCCTATACAGGGCTGTTAGAGCCGCTGCTGATACCAGACTAAAGCTACAAAAACCCTAAAAAGCACCTATTACCAAAGAAAAAGCAAAAACAGGACTACCGTCCCACCAGGCCAAAATCACTACAAAAAAACATACAAAAAGTTA